GACCTTAAAAAAGCCTTCGACACTGTCAATCATACTATTCTCTCACACAAACTGAGACATTATGGTTTTCGAGGTGCTACAGGCAACTTATTTTGTGATTACCTGTCCGGTCGACAACAATTTGTCGAGGTGGATTCCAATAGGTCTCCCATGCTCCCTATTCACTGTGGAATTCCTCAAGGTTCTGTATTGGGACCGCTTGCTTTCCTCGTCGCAATAAATGATCTGTCGTCCTGCTCCAACTTCTTAACCAAACTTTTCGCTGACGATGCCTGTTTGCTTTACAGCTCAAAAGATTTGAATACGCTCCAAGATAAAGTGAACTCTGAAATTAATAAAATACATGATTGGATGACCTGTAACAAATTTACAGTGAATGTTGACAAATCAAAAGTGATGTTATTCAGCCCGAAAACTCGCACTAGACACGCAAATATCTCAATCAGAATTAAAGGAATCTCGCTCGAAATTGTCAACTCTTACAAATATTTAGGGCTCATTATTGACAACAAATTAAAGTGGAACACCCACACTGTTGAAATACATAGGAAACTTTCAAGATCAGTAGGTATTCTAGGAAAGCTCAGGCATTATATACATGACGCAACCCTTCGAACCGTATACTTTGCCCTTTTCCAACCATATATACAATATGCTGTAGCTGCTTGGGGGGCTGCCTCCCAAACAAATTTGCATAAATTAAAAGTTCTTCAAAATAGAGCTGTTAGAACTCTCGCTAGAGCTCCTTTTCGTTCCAACCTAAACATCCTATACCATAAGACCAGGGTGCTAAAATTGTCAGACATCTTCAAATTAGAGGTCTCCAAGATTATGCACCAATACCACAACAATAATCTACCTGCAGCTTTTGACAATTATTTTCTAAGTCTTAGTAATGTACATGAGCACAATACCCGCTCCTCGACTAAGTCTAATCTTTTTGTACCACGTTTTTCCCTAGGCTTAACACAAAATTCCCTAAAATACAAAGGTGTACTAATTTGGAACAGTATTCCCCTCAGTCTACGTGACTCCACTTATGACATCTTTAAATTTAAATTAAAAAAATTCATGCTCTCTTCTTACCTGTCACCTGCCAGCACCTAGAGTTGATGTGCTGTCAGCTTTCCTCTTTGTCATTGCCAGGATTGCTTGATCTGATCCACAGCCTCTCGAATTGATTGACTTGATACTTTTAATAATCAATTTTCTGCACTGTGGAAGAAACAATCATGTTTGTTTTTATTAGATTCTTGTTATTACTTCATATATTCCACAGTGGAATAAATTTTCATGCTTATTTTTCTATGTCACACTTTTGTCGTACTTTATATATTGCCCAGTGGAATGAATATTCACTCTTTTGTTGTTGCCTACTTTATATACTGCACAGTGAAATAAATTTTCATGCTTATTCTTGTTGAATTCGTTCTGCACCTTTGATACTGCACAGTGGAATGGATATTCATGGTTATTTCTGTCTATTTCTTAATTTACTTCATATATTGCACAGTGAAATGAATCTCCATGCTTACTTTTTTTGAATTCTACAAGGACTGTTTAATTATATGCAGAGAAATGAATAGTCATGTCTTATATTTATTATACTTTTTATTTTGCACATGAGTTTGTTTCTATTCTTCCTGTAATCCACAGATATCTGTGGAAGTGCAGTCACACTCGAGGTTTCACGTTTTGAATTAACCAATATCTTTTTTTGTATTTGTTACCTGCAGTCAAACATAAGTGCTCTCACTTTTGTTGAAATTATACCACAATAGCCATGTGGTACATGATCTAAAATTATAAGTTATATTTCAGATCTCTTATTGCATTGTAATTGCCTTCAGTAGCCTATTTTAATAATATCTGTGCAGTCTGTTTGTGGATTTCTGCTAGATCTAACTTATGTTTGGTTCAACGATAATCTAGTATTTACCAGAATTTTGTTTACCTTTTTAAGTTGATCTCTTTTTCTGTTCATGTATGAATTTGCCACCAGCACCCAGTCATCAGGCCACTGTAGAGTTCCATGAGTACGGTACCGTATAGATTTAAAAACCCCTTTCGGAACCTGATTCCAATAATATTGTTTGTTATTAATGTCTTCCGAATGAGGTACTACCCCCAAAACAATGGCCCTTACTGCAGCTGACAAGCGAGGTTTCTTAGCCCGTTTATCCATAGTTACCTCATAATGCTATGGTTTATCACTCTGATATCTAATAAAACGCGGTTGACATGGTTACCCCGCCTGTTGTGACTGGAGTCGCTTGCTTCCTTCGTTATGAACGAGACTCGGATATTCGGGTCGCCTGAATATATTCTATTTCCGTATTCTCTTAGTATTTAATGTTCGTCTTTTTATTCCTTTATAAAATTTGATGTTAGACTTCCTTGTAGGTGACGCTGCTCGATAACCATTACTGGTTTATCGCGTCTTCCTTCACACTAAAATGCATTTTTTTCTCTTTTTACTTAATCCTATTCGTATAATGTGTATTTTCGGCATGTGTAAAAATAAACTACTGATACTGATACTCAGGTACCGTAGTATACCGATAGTTAATTTTAGCCTTGTGCCCTAATTAATCACGTCGTCCGCGAGAACTTCGATTACTGCAACCAAACTAAAGCTCCTCGGAAGGCAAAATGACAATTAAGGCATACAACTATTTTTTGAAAACATAATTTAAAACTGACTGATAAAAACGAGGCCTGCTTGAACATATGTTTGAGCGCCTGCAATTGTTATGTCATTGTTGGCTTATTTTTGATCGGTATGTTAGTCGTTGGTTGTGGTTTAGGGAAAATCTAAATGTTGAGTAGCTGAGCTTGCTATTCTTGCAAACTAAATACCGGTATTGTATTTTAATAATAGACAGTAGCATTGGACATCAAAAAAAGCCAAACCGAAATTCTGACGCCAAACGTGTTTCAAAAAAGCCAAAATCGTAAAATTTGGCCTCCCTGATTACGGGAGAGAAGTTTTAAAAAGAAATTAAGACTAGAGATGTACCGATGTATCGGTATCGGCCATTTTTTCGGTATCGGTTAGATTAAGGCCGATATTCCCGATATATTTACCTTTTTGATATGGTCCAGAATGTTTTAAAAGATAAGTTAGAATACTACTTTTCAATTTATTTTTGTCTGGAGAGATCGTGAGCTATGAGCCATACATGTCCCACACCCGCGAGAGAATGTGTTTTTAGCTATTTATCAGCTAAACTAGCTCAACTAATTTGGCTATTTTCGCTGTCGAATTTTTATATTGACATTTTTAATATTACATAGTTTTTATGAAGAAATATATCAACACAGCACATAACAAAAAGCAACTAGGCGCCCAGTTTTAAATCATACAGTGGAATTGGGGTCCTTCCTTATTAACGGCACATGGACTTTTGGCACGGGTATAAATTCTGACTGTTTGTCGTCAAGTACGAGTGTCATTTAGTCCGTCGACATCGATAAACTAAATTCCGACACAATTATCCCACTACACAGGTATTAATTTTAATTCTGCTCAACTACACGATTTCTTTATAGATATATTGACTTGACCGCCTAGCCCTAGTCTGTCTCAAAATATATGATAGCAATTGTAAAATATTATAAAATAGTGAAGTAAAAAAACATCCTCAACGGTTATCGATGGGCCTTCTTTATTGCGTCGACGATTACGATTAGCCACTAAATAAAATATTTGTAAAATGCTTTTAATTTGAACGTAGGACGGCGGCTCTAGAATGTGTGGGTGATATTCTTTTAAACACGAATGAAGATATTCGAAGATCGCGATATTAACATTAAATTCAAATTGGACATCCCGGCTTATAAGTTTTCTAATTGAACACCGATATTACTAGCGTTACTGTACAATGTATCTTAATCAGTTACAACATGTGGATACCAAACATTAATTTCATATTATGTGATATATATTTTTTTCCGATCTGAAATAATGTGTACTATGAACAACGCTCAAAGACCATTGTTTTAACCCTTCTGCCCTACACAGCATACCTAATTAAGTAATAATTACATAGTATCGGTATCGGAATATCAGCCTTTTTGTAGTATCGGTATCGTCGTTTTAAGATGGTATCGGCGACAAAAGTGATATCGGTACACCTCTAATTATGACATCGTGTTTGACCATGTTGTGACGTGGTATAATTTTACATATGATAGATATGGATTATGAAGGCCCGTGACGTCATTTTCATTTGTGACTTGTTGCTCCACTTTGCAGATGTCAATTTTGTGAAGTGGATTTTTGCCCCACCGAAATTGGCGCTTCCGTAGTATGTGCACCAAGTTGGCGGACACCGGAACGTAGTATGTGTACCAGGTTAGAGTTAGGACATAATTTTATTCTAAATTTCCTTATTTTAGTTCTATTACGAGTTCGGGGACTAGTCAAGTGACTCCCGCAGTATTTATGCCCGAAATTATGACCTAACCGTAACCTGGTACACATACTACGTTCCGGTGTCCGCCATCTTGGTTCACACCACACGAGTACCGCAAAATTTAGGTTTCCCTCAAGAGAGGGGTTCACCACGAACTCAACTTCCTGCATAGGCAACTCAGTTGTTCAGTTTAAAAGGATACATAAATATTTATTTTACCATCTATAGTAGCCAAACCGCTACGAGTTTATTAATCGAACGCCGCGATTTCTAGTGTCGGAGCACAATGAAACGTCTACAGAAGAGCACATAATTTATAGTGGAAGGGTGGGTATTTTTAGCTTCTTCAGTTTTTACTAGAAAGAAATTATGTTTGCCAGCGCTTTACCACGTCGTCAGGTGATTGACCTTAAAAAGTTCAAAATATCGTTTTATTATACAAGTTTCATTTAGCTATGTAAGAGAAATTTATGTGAAATGAAAGACTCAATCCTAATTCATTGTAATGTCTTCTTCATTTGCAGATTACACACAAAGTAAATCCCCTGATAATACCGAAGAATGCCTACCATAAAGTAAAAATAAGAAAATGCTAATAGTTTATTACCATTTATTAGAGCCATCATCTATGACAGCCCATTCATCTACACTGGCGAGTTACAAGCCAGCCATTGCGTTTTACTGAAACAAAACTACAAGCGTTTGGGTGTCAGAAATATTAATAGATTAGCTTAATTTTGTTATACATTCCCAAATTCTTGACTTTACAAGCCAACGCCAAATATTGCTAATGTCCAGAAAAATGGAAACTTGGTAAAATTGACCCGATTGATTGGATATAAAAACCAGCATTATTTCGAAAAAAACTGACAAATAAGTTTTGGGAATAGTTGGTACTCAACTATTTCTATTTTAAACAGTTTGCTTGGCACCAAACAAACTAATAGGGTATCATGATGGTTCAGCATATTTGTGAAAGTAGTAATCACTACTTTTTTTTTGTAATAAATAATTGGTGATGTTTTTCATTTATTAAAATATTAGAAAATAAAGAAATTGTTTCCAGCTATTCAGCAGCCACCTATAATTTTGTAGCAAGAAAATGGTTACGAAAGGAAGAATCTACTAATTGAAAGTTTTTTAGTGTGATGGAAGAATTTTCAGGGCCCATACCCATTCAAAACGATATTTCGTTACTTAAAATAAGTTAACAACAAATATGCAACACATACAATCTGACATTACAGACTTGGTAGTCCCACACGAAGTCTAGTTTATCCCTATGAAGGCATAAGTTTCAAAATGGTTTATAATTTCCACCCCGACTGTAGGAATCGAAGTTGTCATAACCATAACCACCACTATCCCCGTAGTCATATCCACCCTGACGACCTCCACCTCCTCTGCCATATCCCTGGCGACTTCCACCATAACCACTTCCCGTTCGTGAATTTCCACCGTAACCTCCACCACCACGACCATATCCACCCGATCTTCCACCATCCCCTTCGCTCCCATCACATCGAAGAAATAATTCTATATAGCGATGTTGCATCATCGCTCTATCATTTGACATTGCCGCTTGGGCATCATGGTATGATGCAAAGTCGACATTCGCTTCCCCATTTAACCTCCCATCTTTCCCACGCTCCATGTGAATTGACACAGGAACAACAGGGGAGAAAAAACTGTTGATATCATCATCTCTAGCCTGGTAGGGCAAACCCCGCATGTGTACAGTATAACTACTACCAGAACCACCATTATCGAAGTTGTTGTCCCCGCTCCACCCACCACCATTTCTTCCATGTGAGTAACCCTTTTGCCCGCCTCTTCCCCATGGTCCATAGCTACTAGAAGAATCACCATAGCTATCGTAGTCATCGGAGTAATCCCCACCACCTCTGTAACCTCCATAGCCACCCACGGATCTCCCACTATCATATCCTCGGTTGGGGCCCCTTCCACCACCGCCACCACCCTGTGAAGGCCTATCATAGGGACCCCTTCGGGGGTTGCTGCGTCCCAACCTTGGTATCCCGGACGTCGAGTCGCGAAGTTCAGACCTGTTACTTTTAAATATTTCAATGTACCTATGACCTATTTTTTGCTTATGCTTTTTCATAGCTTCATCGGCGATGTTTTGGCTGGCAAATTGCACATAAGCTTCCCCAGTGCAACGACCATTTGCGATTGTCATAGTAATCCCATTGGGTTTAATTTCTAACCCCGAAAAAAACTGGGCAATTTCCTCTTTCGAGCATTGATAGGGAAGACCCCGAATTCTTAATACACCATCATAATTTTCCTGCTCTACAGAATCCTGCCCACTTCGACCGAGGACATACTCCATTTCTTTACTTGTCGATTTAAATACCTCGATGTACCGCCTCCCCATCATTTCATGATCTTTTGCCAAAGCATTTTGCAAGTCCAAATCGGAATGAAGTTCTACATATGCCTCCCCGCTGGGCCGACCTTCCCTTGTGTATGTCTTGTGGATCCCTTCCTCCCCATTAACGATGTTAACATCAGTAAGAAAAGTAAGAATTTCTGCCTCGCTCGCAGACCAGGGCAAACCCCGAATTCGAACAATAAATGTCCCATCATTTTCCTCACCCATGTTGCCTTTTTTTAACTAAATGGTACAGACAGAAAATGACAAACAAATGACCTAGGTAATGGATATCTGGGCCCAATCCCTGTAAAACAGATCACAACATTTTGCGACATGTGAATAGTATTAATAATACAATCGCTTTGAATGAATATCCAATCAAATGCCACTAACCAAATTAATTTGTCAGTTAAATAGAACAAAGAAAATCGAAAAAATACATAACATCAGATAAATTACCAAACTGTCAAACCCAGAATACCATGTTATATTCTTTACTACATAATCATTAAAAGTTATGTCTGCATTATTCATGAATGCTGGTCTCATAACTCTGTTATATTTTAGACTTAAAATCAGCGATACTAGCATGCCAACTGCTATATACATACAAGAAAGTCAACTGGTTTTCACAGAATCCAGCAATTGCCAGCTAGTTTGCTGCATTTATACTTTGGACTGCCAAACACAAAAGAGATGGATATTTTCTTATTACAGTATTAAGCTCCGTTATACTAAATTTTATTCAACATTATAGTTGATATGGAAGAATTAATTTTGATAAGTTGACTGCAATACAAATGTTTAAATAGGGCTAATGCCCAATTATTTTAATGAGCCTAAACATATACGGTAACTGTAAAATTAAGTAACTATCTAAAACTGAATTGCAATCAGGGTACATAGTAGCAATTGATATATATTAAACTCTTCTCCAAGGAATTTGCAATGGATGTTTGAGTTGCTATGACTTTTTCTATCAACCAAGCAGCTAATATGTGAATCCAATTGACCTATGTTCGGCCTATGTACAGATTTCCCAAATTAATGGCCTATCGAAGGCACTCAATAAATTTAAAAAAATAGCAATATAACGAAAAATGACAATTCTGAAATGCAATTAAAATGTTATTACGTTACCTACACACTTAAAATAAAGATATATCTTAATAAGAATGTCCACAATATCATTGAATATTATTATAGTAATCTTGATGAAACATATATCTTAGTTTATCATGCCCACTGCAACATTCAGACATTGGGTATGCCCTAAGCTAAATAATACCATGCAGCAAATATTATTCCATATAACTCCAGATAGCGATATTTCTTCAAGAACCTATTTTACATTAATCCTAATGCGTAAATTTCACAAAAAAATTTATGTTCATTCCGTTATCACAGTGACAGCTCGGTAGTCGAATGACTCTAAACTGGAACAATTTCGTAGTAAACCAAAAAATTTGAGTAAAAAATGCTGCAGTACTCGAACGGGAATTCGGAGCTCGAACACCCGAGTCGAGTGAGATGAAGGCACCCGAATCGCTCATCTCGACTGCCTTTCGACCATACAATGAGCATCAGTTCAAGTCAGAACGTTAGCAGAATAATACATCTTGAGAAATTTGTGATTTTTCATGGCTCCAAGGAAAGTTGTAGAGGAGGAAACAGTGAAACCAACTATAGAGTTGGAAAATTAAATTATCGCAAAATATGAGAACGGTGTTGAGTGTCTGATCTCGCCTTACTGTAGAATATGGCATGGCAACGTCTACCATTTCCCCGTTTTTGAAAAAAAAAAAAAATGATAAAGAAAAGTAAGGTTGCACAGAGTAACAGGGAGCGACAGCAATTATTGTTACTTAGGTCATGTTTTATTGAAATTTCGGAATGCATAAGAACATATCGGAATAATTCCATTGTTTCTTATGGCAATAAAAGTTTTGGTACTCGAAGTCTTTACCAAAACGATAGTTGAAACCGATCACGGAAGAATTATGTTCGACTACCGAGGTGTATAACTTTATATCTAATGAATTTCAAAAACAACCAGACAAGACGATCTGCCGCAGCAACTTGTTCTGAAATGGAGGGACCGATAACAATCATAAACATAAAAATCAGATATATATATATAGATGCCTATTTGTTCGGCGTTATATAATCACTTACAGCATTCATTTTTACACCACGTTGATGTTTGAGCGTATTTAAGCAGTTACATCGTTTGCTTCACAAGACCCAAATATACCGTATTGAACATAATGAAATCACCGTACGCTGTACCGGTACCGTACTTACAGATTCGTATGTACCGTACCGTGTTTACAGATTCAAAAATTAACGGTAGGCTACCTACTGAATTAAAACAGAAAAAACCGCCAGTCAGCCCAGGCGTCGGCCTCTTGCTCAAGATGGAGCACAAATCGTGATGTCGAATGTGGTTCCGTGACGGTTCTTTCCATGGTCGCCAAATGGCCAACAATATTTCGACTCCATAATCAGCTTAACCAGTCGTATGTTAGTCGTTGGCTTAACAGACGATAAAATAATTGATGAAGATGAATTAATCAAAACTGAATATTGAAGAGGCGGTGTGGCACATCGTGCTATGCGTTAGGAATACGCTCGCCACCGCATCACTTATTGCTCTGCGTGGGTTCGCAGGTTCGAATCCTATGTGGGGATGATCATGTGCTAGAGGATTACTGGACTCCTCGCCGTCGTAGGGTGGTTCACGTAACCGCTGGTCGGTTACGGCTTCCTTCGCCAGCAAGTCCATGCTTTCGATAACAAATAACTGAATAACCGAGAATATCGGTTGGAAACCGAAGACTTATCGATCGATAGTTAGGGGATCCCCCAAAACAGAAATTGCAGTTTCGATTCATCCGCTCTTGTAACTTGCGCACTGCGCATCGCACACACACACTCAGCGGGTTTCAAAATTCTCTCGCTTTACAAAAATCTAGATCACTATATCAATAATTGATTGACAACTCGCTAATTATACGACATAATTCGCCCAAAATCAATAGGCTTCTGGTCCGAGATGGGATGAATGCACATGCAAAATCTGGAGCAGATTCGATCTCGCTTTCGTGAGATATCGCGTGCATCTAACAGACACACACACAGACAGACAGACAGACATACAGACAAATACCTATCAATATACTTACCGATCTTAAGATCGATAAGTAATAATCCCATACCCGACATGGACTGGTAACCGGACGAGAGGCCGTGGTCCGCCATTTGATTAGGCCGTGTTATCGACTTTCCTCTCCCCCGGGATAATATGTAAATTCTATACTATAAATAAAATTTTATCAAAAATAATGCACCTGTATGAAAACTTATAGAATTCAAATTTGAAGGTTTTGCCAAAAGAAGTGGAACGTGTTCTCTCACCTAAAAGTATTTATTTGCACACATACAATCGCAGAAATATAATAAAATAAGAAAAACGCGAGAAAAATAAGATCTATAACTCAGTGAATATAAAAAAAAAACAATAAAAAACAAGTACAAATTATTTGTTATATCATATTAATTATTGTTAATTATTGTTACGGTTATATGAGCCACGACCCCTCGCCCGTAACCTGTCCATGTCGGTCATGGGAATAGTAAGGGTTAACATATTTTGTAACCTCAAAGCGGGACGCCTCCAAAGACAATAGCTGTGAGTTTTCCAACTTTAAATTTACCGATTTTACATTACATTGACTACATTTAAAACCATCCTGACTGTCTTCATTGACCATATTGTCATCGAGAGTTCATGCGCCGTCTGTCTAAATATCGGTTTCAGTTCGAAAAAAAATAGAAAGAAATTTACGTTAACGTTAAGCACCCTTTCGACGTACGTGGCTTGCGCGTAACATATTGTGGCAATTACCAGCTAACAATGTTAGCGGAAAACGACGAAACAAACAAAACCACGCATCCACCCCCACTAAGTAGGCTATCGGTACGCTACACATCAACAATGTCAATTCGTAATGTTCGTGTACTATGCTGACTGGCTGAACGCCAATACGGGACTTTTGACCGAACGGCCGAGACAAAACGTTAAAAAATGGGAATGTCCCGCTTAAAACGGGACGTATCGTAAGCCTAGGAATGGTTGACCATTTATTCGTTTCAGATGCACGTTTTTTAGTAGAAGAAGTCGACGAGCCACGACTCCTCGTCGTAACCTGCCCATGTCGGTCATGGGATCATTTATTCATTTTAGATCAGGGGTTTCCAACCTTTTTCAGTTGGCGGACCGGTAAAATTTCAAAACGAATTTTGCGAACCGGGGGACTTTCAAAATTAACTAAAAATGTCATAAACACAAAACATAATCAAAAGAATGCAATTACGACAAAAGTTGGCGGTGAAAAAGAAGACAATCCAATTCAATGAGAAATTTTCCGCCTTTTAGGCCGCGAGCCGAGGCCCTGAAAAACGCCTAGAAAGGGAGTTTCGTAGCGCACATCTGGTAACTACCTGAAAGTGATTTTAAAATGTTCCTTAAAAATGTAGTAACAAATATTGCCTTGTTTCCACTTCCAAAAGTTGCACGTTTTACGAAAAAGACGCTATTATTACAAGAAATATGAGCTACGATCTGTCCTATATTCTCTACATTTTCGGCAATGAACAATGACTTCTGCATGACGTAACAATTAAATCGTATCAGCTGTTAGCGAGCGGATGAATATTAGTTATTACTGCTCGACCTTGCGTTGAGTTGGGCAGCCTTTCCATAGCCCTGTTTAGTTATTATTAGTTAAGTTATGCTAAGACGTTGTTGAAAAATGTATAAGTAAGTTATTAAACACTTGTAGATCCTTACCACGGATATGTGCCGTGAGACGAAGCCTTGAAAACGCCCAGAAAATGAGTTTCGTAGCGCACATCTGGTAACTAAATAAATTCTTCAGTTTTGTGTGAAAATGAACATACTGAACGCAACACAGCTTGTTCCACAATCCTGATGCGAAATTGAATATAAGCGGTTCCCGGAAATTCAGTAACCATAAGTTTACAACACATGCATAAGAACTATGCAATTCGAGATCCATACAGCACACTAACACAAATGTATTTCTCTAATGTTTTGCCTGACCAAATCGGACTTCCTCAGTCAATCATAATTTATTAGGTAGATTACGAAAAATATGGCATACATGTAACCAACAACAAAAAATACTTTAATTGTGTGGTAATTGTGAGTCGCGAGTGACCTCGAAAGCAGCGACACCAACAACGCTGATTCACATTAGCGAATAAACTTTATGTAATAACCACAAGCAGTTTACAACAAGAACAGCATAAAAAGCTACATCCATTTTATAGAAGCTATCAAACGTATTTATTTTTAAGCAATGAAGTCACAAATTAACATCGTGAGCACGAAAACACAAATAAATCAGTTATTTCTCACTTAGGAATTTACCGGAAAAGTCAAGAAAATTAAATGAATGTACAATATGTACATAACATAGTGAACAGAAATTTACAATTAGTCTTTTTTTAGTTTATGTGGTTATGTATTTGAACAAAGGCAATATTATTTCTAGAAACAGGACTACGACACTAACAAATGTCCGAAAAAAAACAAATAAATGATACCTATTAAATCAACTGCAATATCTAATTCACTTTCTTCTGAATTGTTTTCGAAATCCACTATCTCGAAAATCGACTTTTCCTCTATAAGTGTACTGTAATTTTTGCAGTCAATACAAAAACAAAAATCTGTAATTCAAGTTGATAATGCCACACTTGCATAAATTATTTTGACTGATTTCCTACACTTGCAGTTTGCCAACTCAAGAACTGATTTGAAGGCCACATGCGTCTTCAGTGGATCATTGTTGGGTGGTAGAGTATAATCCTTATGTTTGCCAGTGTTTGCCAACCGACCAATAGACGTGCCCTGGTATCATTTACATTCTCCATATCCTCTTCATACAGTGAACAAACAAATGCCTCAGTTTTATTTATTAATGCCTCGTTAACCTCAAAAGATCTTTATAGTTGAGAAAAAAATGAATTGAAAACCTCCAAGTCTCCGACATGAGTTTGATGGGCAGTTCCAATTGCAGAAAAGTGCTAAAGTATTTCAATATGAATAGCCCAGTGTTCTTCAACCTTTTTTTATCAAAGTATACCTTTTACAGTTTTTCAAGAACTTTGTATACCTTACAAATACCAATGTTTATTTAAGGCTCAAATAAACAATAAATTTTAAGCACATATTGTACTGCAATATCATCATGCAATCTAATAGGCTAGTGACCGCAAGTTATAAATTTGACTGACTGCCTTAGCGTCGACGGGAATAATGTTTGACGTAAATCAAACAAAGTGCATGGCATCCGAAATCACCAACCCAGACATATGCCCGTATCATCTATATAATTTGTGATGTAACAACGTGCTCATGTCGGTTCTTAGCGTTAATTACATTTTACATTTCATGTGCGCCGCGTTTGCATTGTTGTATCCAATTGAATATTTTATAGGCTGTACACCTTTCGTATACCCTTTATCAGTTGTATACCCAACTTTTGTTCTGGTATACACTTGGGTATACCGTATGCCCGGTTGAAGAGCACTGGAATAGCCCATCTAAGCTGTTTGCAACTATTATGATTCCCATATACCTTTACGCTTCAAGACTTCTTGTTTAATCCATTTTATAGCACTGATAGCAGCAGGGATTAGAGCCTGCGCTAGGTCGGATTGGTGGAACATTGCCATTTTCTTTTATTGTACAGTATCTAAAATGAGGAAGAAAACCATATTTGGAACGGCATGAGTGTAAAATACCACTAAATACTAGCTAATAATACATAATGCATTTTATCTGATGTACTCAATGAGCGTATATATGCTCATTGCATGTACTACAGTCCAGCAGTGTTTGCATACCATTACTAGACTATATCTACACTAAATTTTGATATATCACAGTCTGAAATGCCCTATGACAGTATGAGTATGGACTATATTTTAAAACATCAACTGTCTGTCTACAACTTGATTTCTCACCTCTCAATCGTTTCCAATGCTACTTTCTTTCCACTCCGGCATAACTTATCATTGCTTCCCAGATTCTTGTCGACTCTATGAATTTAGATTTAGACCAACCGACATTAGTAAAATTGATTGTTTTCTTCTCTTTCACACAACCGTGCATTACAGAAACAGACATTAATTTCTATTTCCAAGTATGCTGTGGCCTATATAGTAGTATAAGTCTGCTGAATAGTCAAGAAGAGTCATTAAATTAATCATAAACATTTCATGCAAGCCAGAAAATATCAATGTTTGTGACATATTATTCTAGGTCTAGCCTTCCTTGGGGTTACCGCACTGTACCTATTTAACAACGTCTTATGAGCTAGTGCTCAACTAAAATTGCAATTCGTGGTAAGGATATACAAGTGTTTAATATCTTACTTACACTTTTCAACACCTCCTCAGAATAACTGAACTAATAATAACTGAAAACTAGATAGCTATGCTCAAATATATGGACACGTAACGCCATTTAATGGCAATAATTTTGATGACGTCATAGCGAAAAAAAAAGTAATAGACTTCTGGAGAAAAATTTCATCTTTAACCACTGAAAATTTCAAAGCAATTGGTCCAGTATTCGAAGAGAAAAGCGATTTTTTAAAAATGATGGAGACAAATAACAATAACAACAAAATTTTGAAACGATCGTTATGTCCACTAAACGTGTCCAATAAATATATGTTACCATCTGTCCTATTTTCTCTGATTTTCCGGTATCATGGGCCAATGAACGCAGACTTCTGCCTGACGTAACAATCAAATTAGTCAGCTGTAGGTGGATCACCAGTGGTCGGATGAATATCAGATGTACTACTACTGCTCGCTTTTGCGTTGAGTAGCCTTTCCATAGTTTTTGGACACGTTTAGTGGACCTAACGATCGTTTCAAAATTTTGTTGTTATTGTTATTTGTCTCCATCATTTTTAAAAAATCGCTTTTCTCTTCGAATACTGGACCAATTGCTTTGAAATTTTCAGTGGTTAAAGATGAAATTTTTCTCCAGAAGGCTATTACTTTTTTTTTTTTCTATGACGTCATCAAAATTATTGCCATTGGGTGGCGCTACGTGTCCACATATTTGAGCATAGCTCTCTTGTTGTAGTAAAAGTGTCTTTTCTGTGAAACGTGCAACTTTTGGAAGTGGGAACAAGGCAATATTTGTTACTAAATTTCTAAGGAACATTTTAAAATCATTTCCGGGTAGTTACCTTATGTGCGCTACGAAACTGAAAGATAAATGACCTCGGCTCGCGGCCTATTCGTTTCAGATGCACATACTTTAGTGTAAGTAGAAGAAGTCGTAAACGACCAGCGTTTACGCAAACAACCCTAGGGACAGCAAAGGGCCCAGCAATCTTCACACACATAATTTCCACCGAAGGATGACAACGGTGGAGGGTTGGGTTTAACGCTGAGCCGAATGTTTTTTTTTTGACTCATCACTAGGGCTGGGAATAGTTAACCGGTTAACCGATTTCAGATGGTTAACGGTTATGATTTATTTTAACCGTTAACTGACATCTCAGGTACAAATCATCTTTATACAGTACAATTTCGTTAAATATGATTACGTCATCTTAAATTTATCTCTTGCGTCGTTTAATTCAAAAAAATATTACTAACTGTGTGGGTAAGGACTCAATAAATGTAAAAAATAATGGAAGTACCAAGGTTGCTGATAATGAAAATTTACAATGATAAATTCAGAATCAGTTTTTGGTCGATTTCGAAATATATTGTTCACGACTTCATTGCAAAATCGGATACTCAATGTCATACAACAAGTGTGCAGTTGATGCCGTTTTCTCTATGAAATATATCTCGAAGTAGAATTTGCACATCAAACACTGAAAAATTGTCTCATAAATGACGTTTAACAACGGAATCGGGTTTTCTTAAATATTTCCACATGCCCGAACCACGCTGCCTATCTTTTGCAGCAGAGGAATCATGAAACTATCTCAATTCGTGAATAATTTTGAGCGATACCGAGATAAGAACACGCGAAATTTTTTTATAACCATTGTGACGTAACAAGCTGAAATTATAATTATTACGTCAAACGTCACGCGGCGGTTAACCGGTTAATTTTACCCGGTTAACGGTTAATATGTTTTCCCTGAAATTCCCAGCCCTACTCATCACAGACTTTTTCCTTTGACAACCTGAAGCACTTGGAATATCTCGTTTTTACCGTCATCCTTATTATTCTGGTTCTTGGCAAATTTAGATTAATAAGTATAATTAATATAAGTATAAGTTTATTTCGTTTTTTCGATTTTGTTTTTACCGCCATCATTTTTTTGGTTCCGGGCTAATTTAGATGGCCAGCGCTTTCGCTGAATCTTGTCATGGCAACGGCTTCACTGTTTTCGCTACAACGATAAAGTATTGGACTAAAATTGTTTGCCTTCCTCTCTGCGTCCTGACGTCTAACGTTAACTAACCCTATAAATCAACTCGTGAACATGTGTGACTATTAGTACATGACTCTTATTGTATATAAAAGTATAGCTTATAACACAAATATGAGTATAGTTTCAGAAATTCGTATGTAAGTAGGATACAATAAAGGAGGATTGGGAAAATGGGGCAAAAAATCTGAATCAATTCATCATTTTAGTGTTCGGTATGCAACCTGTAGCAAATAATTTTCCCATGCATAAACTGACTGGCTGATGTTTTTTGAACGGTAATTGTTATTTTTTTTGCAAAGTTTGAATAAAAGTCTGGTGTTTTATTTTAGATTCACTATATTTATTTATTTGGTCAGCAATAGAAACTTGACAATGTCGACCACAGCAGCAAATGAAACTAGAGAAAGATACACTGCATTATGCAAGCAAAGGAATACACAACCTCATGCATATGTATTAAAAGCTCTCAATAAATCTGCCAAAGACTTCTTACTGTAAGTTCAAACATTTATTTCAGTAGAACAAATTCACTCAGTTGGATGCAAGGATTTTTTGTTATCCTGTTTTTCTTATACTTGAAGTTATATATGGAACCGTACCGTATATTAACAAGCTGATTTCCTGATAATGTCTGCTGCTTCAATTCTTACTGATACCTAAAAGCTCTTGTTTAAACATTGACAAATTATACTACAAAGTTCAGTCGATGACTATTAATGTGGTTTTTGCAATAACAAACATTGGGATTTTCATATTTATCCTGGGGTGAGGAAAGGCAATATGACTTGATCATATGGCGTGCCATAGCCTATCATCCGGCTACCAGTTCAAATCTGGTATGGGATTAGTTACTTAGTTATTTGTTTCAGATGCATAAACTTGATATGTTTGTTTATTAATTATAATATAGAATTACGATAGTCCTGATTACGGTATTCATTTAAAACAATCTTAGTAGGTTTTTGGTAAATGCGTATTGTTGGAGTAAATGTAGCACAATTATATTTATCTTGCTCAATATTTCTTTTAGGAGTCAAACAGAAGAAATGCACGTTGATCTTGCCGGTAATAATAAATTATTAACACAAAGACGGCTGGAAGACGTTGATGTAGAAATCCTGTGTAGTATTCTGAGTAAAAGTACAGTTCTGGCATCCCTTGATCTTCGATATAATAATTTTACGGATGTTGGAGCAGGCGCTGTTGCCAAATTGATTGAGGTGAGTTTTTTTAATAAGCAGTACCAACCTAGTTCTGAGCCTGCGGCTCAGCAGTTGGTGCACATGCTAAGCATTAGGAATAAGCTTGCCACTGCACCTCTGATTACACTGCTTTCGCAGGTATGAAACCAGTGTGAGATAACTCTGTGTGAGAAGGTTGCTCGTTGTCCGCAGAGTGTTTGCTGTATCCAAAAAACTAATAACTGGCGGCTAACTAATCCCATACTCGACATGGACTGGTAACTGTATTAGAGGCCGGATTGAGGTGTGCTATGCAGTGCATCTTCGAACCACTCTTCATATATAATATAAAAATCTTATAATATATAAATCTTTGGATTTTATTTAGTCCAAACTATGCTTTCATGACAAAACTTCAATATTTATTTGCATATTATATCATTTTATTAGCATTCTATGTATTTGTATTCAGGAAAGTCCATGTGTTAAGAAAATCAATATAATGTGCAACGAACTAACGTCTGACGGAGCACAGAAAATTGCATCTGCATTACATGATAATGTGACATTGAGGTTTGTTTAATTATTTGTTGTTTCCATTCAAATCATGATGTTATTTTTTGCAATACTCATAACTACGGTATGTGTCATTAGAAAAGGGTTATTATCAAGCATTATGCAATGAAACCATATAGTATATGAAATTTAGTTGTACTTTATATACTTATGTGTATTTGCTTTGAACAATTCTATCGATAAGTTACTATTTAGGTAGTTTGAAGCACTTCCTTAATTTTTGTGTACATAATTTATTTATGAAATAGAAACCGAAATATATATATTTTCTGCAATAAGATGGCTTGTTTTATTTTAATTAATATTGTTTTGTTGAATATTCATTCAATATACAAATACTTCATATTGTTTCTTAGTTAATTAAATATTATTAATTTTGCAATCTATTGTAAAGTGGTGTGTTAAGATTGGTATTATAGCTCACAAGCTGAAGATCACATATATTTACAGCGATAACATATCATTTAATATTTATATTTTGCTATACTTAGGTCTTTGAAAATGAATGGAAATAAGATTGGAAATAAAGGTGGAATGTATTTTGCACAAGCCTTACAGATAAACACAAAACTGAGAGAATTAGACCTTGGTGACACTGACCAGGTAAACTCATTTTTTGTTTTCTAGTATAGGTCTTAGCATATAGTATATCATCAATGGTTAATGCTAACATTCATAAATTGTTTTACATGCTCATGACAAAGTGTAAGATTTCATCTCACTTTTTGCCCGATATATGAACTTATTTGTATATTTCAGGGAACTGAAAGCATGATTGCATTATCAACAGTACTGAATCAAAACAGACATCTACGAGCTTTAAATATAAATCGACCGTTGCTTTTTTCATGTCAGGAAGAAACAACAGTTCATTTTGGCAAAATGCTCAAGGTTAGATAAATTTAATGTAAATTTTACTTTCTGAAAACATGCCACGGGAGGTAATAAATGTAAGATAATAGTTTTTTCATCTTATGCCATTACTTTGAAGTAATTCATCATGTTTTTGCACAAATCAGAAAATTCAAAATATTTTTTGCAGGTAAACCACTCTTTGAGAGAAATTCACATGTCAAAATGTATGATTCGAGATTTTGGAATGGAAAGATTATGCGAAGGACTAACCGACAATTACACTCTCGTGTATTTGGATTTAAGCTGGTATGTCTATCATGCAAAATATTTTTCAGTGTTCTTCAACATATGTACATGCATTAATATTGTTATAAAAATCGGCGTAATGCCATATTGGTTAAATCTGTAGACCTAACTGTGCTGGCATCGCAGTAATCAGATTTTAAAACACTAATAAATTCTGAGCCAAATAAAGTTCTGAACTTTTTTCATGAATTATAGCAACCGTATTACCAGAGATGGTGCCGAATGCATGTCTCATTTACTGCGAAAAAACACCCCACTGGAAATATTGGATCTTGGATATAACAGAATTGAAGATGACGGTGCTCAATATCTTAGTGAAGCAATTGGAACATATAACAGCAATTTAAAAGCGTAAGTACTACATACCGGTAGCTCAAAAGTATTTGTCCATTTTATTTCATAATATGGTCTTATCAGTAAGGCAATTCTTCATTGCTTTCTAAATGAATTGGTGATTCAATTGTTTCAGACTTGTAGTCACTTCCAATTGTATTGAAGGAAAAGGTTTAGTATGTATTGCAAAATCAATGAAGACAAACAATGTGTTGTCAAATGTTTATATTTGGGGAAACAATCTTGAAGAATCTGCATGCGACGTAAGTAATTTTTGCTATGACAGTTTACCTTTAAAAAGTTTTCCTTCAATCAGAGAACTTCAAACTACCCAAAATCTATTAATATTTATTACCTACCGGTAATTGGCATAGGGAATGCACATACAAGGGAAGCATTCTATTCTATTATTCGGCCAGTCACATTAATAGTTACCCAATAAAACATATGTTAAACAGGCATTTCGAGAACTGATTGACCGCAGAAGATTGCTTCCTAAAAATACAGATGTTAAGCCATATGAAGTTGATGGCAAAAATTATCTGGCAGAACTTAGTCATGGTATCAAAAGGTATGATTTAATTTCTCAATATTGTAATAAATTTTCTGGTAACTATGAGTTGGGGGTTATGAAAGATTTCGTTGTGAACTACTTGTCTGAGGAAATCTGATTTTGGTCAGACGAAACGTTGCAGAAATATATTTCTGTTAGTGTGCAGCAGGATTCTTGAATTGCATAGTAAAGTTATTTTTTTGCATAATACTTGCTAACATGTTTATTATCGAAATACTAATTCGATTACAAAAATATATTTTGTAAATCCATGTCAAAATTGAATTTCATTCAGATTCTATTATTGGACACCTTCATATGGAGCTGATGTTGTTGGTGGTGATGATGACTTGCTGTGAATGTATCTTTTTTGAGAACATATTTTGTCACCATTGCTGAATAATTATTTCTAGTCGCAAAATTTTTATATTTTCTCATTAATAAAAACTTCATATATCATAGCTTGTCTAAAGTTGTAAAATGTACCATCATTCATGTGGGAAGTGGGAAAAGTATTGTGTAGCAAATATATAACAGATAGTGACAAAGATAAGGAAATAAGGACTTCAGAAGAATTCAGTATTGAGAAGAGGATTGTTATGCCCATAGGAAATACCTACCACTTTGCAAGAACTAAAAATAGAACTGGCATTAGGTGAAAAGGCCCCGTGCGATAAAAACGCGATTGCCAAGATCGAATACCATGAGAAAGGTAATGATCTGTAAGGGGATTGCTGCAATCCTCACTGGCGTAAGCTGCTTCACAAAACGCCTTGTCGGTCGTAACAAGAGGCTGTGAGTAGTCACATGATTACGCTGTATCAGTGGCTACTGTCTTTTCAGAAATATATATGAAAATCCCATCTTATGTACAACAGCAGATTGGTACAAAAACTAGTAAAATTTGACTACCGTGTTTGACCTTTGAACCTCAGTCCTCAATGCACCACATATGTTCACAGCAAAAAGATAACCTTTCTAAAACAGACATACAAAAAAACATTATGAAAATAATTAATTAATATTAAGTGAGTAACACATAAAACAATCAATATTGAGTTGGTTCTCTTTTCTTTCATATAAAGTCTTGAATTCGGTTCACCAAGCCGCTTGACATGAGCTGTTGCCAAGACGACGACTACGCGGGTCACAGAGGTGTCAACAAATCTATTATCGACTTGGATATTTGATGTGGAATTAACCTAGGCTTTTAAGTGTATGCTTGTACGTAAACTGCAACGTAAATATGGCAAGTACAACAATATCGCAATCATTGCCACCAAATATTGACCCAACAAATGCACCTTTGGCATTTGGTGTGAGAGCTCTTCCAAAGATCAATAGAGAGCTTAAAGATGACACACTTATTATCAGACAAAGGGCTTTAATGGCTTTATGTGATCAAGTTCATAATCCTGAAAAAGTTCATGAATCAATTCAAGTCGGTGAGTTACCACCTATTAGTCACTAGGTCACCTGTCCTATTCAATTCAGTGAAGTTTTTATACTCAGGATGTTTTTATACTCTATTTTCAGGATGTATGGACAGTTTGAAAAAGCTATTGAATGACTCCGACAACACAGTTAGACAGAAAGCAACTGAAGTTTTATCTATAATGGTGGCACACAATGTTGGTCGTAACTCATTTCTGGACAACAATGTGATCGCGTCACTATCCAAAGTAAAAACTTATCTTTTTTTTTAATATTATAATTTAACTTTATTTTATAATAAATAATTAAGAATTATACCGAGACTATATAAAAATTCTGATTTTTCGCCATATACTCAGGCTTTATGGGTGTGCGAAGATTAGGCATTTTGCGGTACTACTTACTGAATACAGCGTGAAACACCGCAAAGAGCCCAAAATAGCGCAAAACAGAGGGAAACAGCGCAAAACAGTGTGAAGCGGAAATTTTTTTTGCAATGAGTTCGGAGCAGCTTGTTTTGAGTTGGAGTACCACGGCAGCAAAAAACACAAACCAACGTATGTAGCCAGTAATGCTGTAATGGCAGGTCTGCCCCTGCTGGTGACACATTTTGGGTACCATAATTTAGAACATTTTCCATATGGATATGGTTGGCTTTAGGGTTAGGGTTAGGTAAAAAGGGACCTCCAGGCGTATGTGCACCAAGCTGGCGCACAACCTGAAAATAGTATGTGTGTGTAGCGGATTCAGGTTGTGCGACATATTGCTGCACATACTTCTGGAGCACCAAAAAGGTAGATAAAATTTCGCATGATGACCTATAATCCGGTACATAACCTTGTAAATATACCGGAAATAGCGCCATAAAACCATGGCGAGAGGCGCCGTGGTTCTTTCGTGGCAGGAGGTGGTAATGACTGCGTCTCCTGTTTTGCGCTGTTTCGCGCTCTTTGCACTGTTTCGCGCTGTATTCAGTAAGTAGTAAGACCCGGCATTTTGTCTTGTTTTGTCTTTGTAATTACTATGATAAATTGAATTTAAACCACTAACTTTTTTTCAGCGTAAAAACCATATTATAATGTCCCATTTCTCAATAAATATTTCAATTTTCATTACATAGGTAATCTGTAATGATAATATTTTTAAGAGAAACAGTGACAGATTGAATTGACGCTATATGCTTATTCCGATGAAACTGAAGTATTGAAAAATAACAAATTGGTGTTTGTATGCTGCTATAATAGCGGTGAAATCAACCATTAAAACTTCTTCCTCAAGGTTTGATTAATTTGAGACAATAGTAATGACCAGACTTATCAAGGTTGTATGCCGTTCTCCTTTTGTAAAACACGTCTTTAAGATCTATTCATGCAGATTTTCAGTTTTGCATTTTATTGCATCGCTTCAAAGACAAAACTTTTTACATGTTTTAGCTTTTTGACGATGAAGTTGAAATTGTTAGAAGAAATTGTCATCTGTGTTTAGAAATGCTTGCAGAAATACCATCCGGTTAGTTCTGATTAGGCACTAATAAATTCATTGGATTTTGCTCTTTTTATATCAAACCAGCGTTGTCACAAGACGGTTTTGCCTTCTTCCACCATCAAGTCCATGCATTAGAAACGAATAACCGACATGAATGAGTAACCAGATGAGAAGTCATGGTTTGCCATATGATTAAGCTCTCCCTTTCCCCCACATAAATATTAAGTTCCTATTCTTATGAAATCTGTCTAAGGTGACAAAAAGCTATTTTTCATCTGTGGAATAAATATATATTGCACTGTATAGACTTGCCATATTTAATGTTTGTTGATTAAATATACATGTTCCAGGTGCACAAGGAATCGTTGATGCAAAATTGATCCCCAAACTCGTTGAAAAATTGAAGATTGAACTTGATGAAGTTAAAGAATTAATTCTTGATACACTGCATTTCTGTATGCATGTTGATGCTGAAAGTGCTCTATCAGCTGGAATAATGCCAGTTCTAAAGGTATGTTTGTAATAAATAACAGCAAACATCAACTATGATGTCCAAGAATAGAGCACCTTTGCCGAGCATTGTTTGCAAATGATAGATTGAAATCAACCGAAAATTGATAGATAGAGGACACTGTATGTAAGACCATACCAGTTTCGAACTATTCAATTACAACCTCCCACTTTTTGGTATTATGTATCACTAGATCTTGTTATTTAAGTGCTTCTATTAATGATTAATCATTTATCAATCCTAATTGTATGACAACCTACACTATATTTAGGAGCTTTTGGCTCATGATTCTCCACAAATCAGAGGAGCTGCAGCGAGAGATATGATGGATGTAACAGTTCCACTAGCAGGGAAAGTTGCTGCATGTAAAGATGAAAATATAGTCCCTGCATTGGTGAAACTATTATCGGATGCAAATACAGATGTAAAAGCTCGAGCAGCTGGCGCAATAATGACCATCACAATCACAACACAAGGTATTTGCATTTTAAATGAGCAGCAAAAGAGCACTTCAATGATTTATTTTTCTGTAAATGTGTACCTGTACAATTAATTACATGCAGTTCTATAACCCAACATATATCACATTGGGAATAACTATCTCTGATGTCATCAAGCTCAAATTTTGTCAAATGAAAACACTGTATTTTTATTATGTTAGTGGTCAAACATCATGGAATCACACTTTCAAAATTATGTTCTCTAACATCATCAAAGACGCAGTATAATTACGGTATATAATTTTAATATGGTTGTAAAAAGTTGTTTCGATCCTTGCTACATTTGGTGCATACAGTACCATTAGCAAAGAGAAAGGGGCGATAGGTAATAGACTTTTCTAACCAACCATTTTGACATGATTTTTATTTGATACCAAACACTGTTCAATTAAACTGCATTATTCTTTCTATTGCAGTTAACTCGAACTATGACTTGCTTATAAAAATGAGCACCAGACTGGGGTAAATCCCATCACCATTAAAACATGACAACTTTTATCAACTACATGTCTTTTTTACCTAGGTAAATACAAAGCACTGGAAGCAGAAGCTATCCCTGCACTTCGTCAACTTCTCTTTGATACGTCAAGCGAAACTCGTCTCAATGCAATCAAAGCTTTAACAACATTAGCAGAAGCTCCACAGGGTCGAGCAAAACTTTTAAACTTTGTTACAGAGATTGAAGAGCGAGAATCGGATTCGAGTCGTGCAGTTGCTAGAGCGGCTCAAATCGCTAAAAACGTCATCACTTGGAAGCCTTGATCAGCTAATCGATGACTTTTTTAAAGTTTGAGTTTTTTGTATTTAAAGTATAATAGCAAGATAGAAAAACAGTTACAACAAATGAAATCTATGCGCATTAATTGTGGTTTTGAGGAAGAATGGTACTTGTTTGGCAGTTTGTTATAAATCGATTCAATAGTATAATTGCCAGGATGACTTAAAAAAATAGTATTTATCTTTAATAGCTTGAGAAACAAACAAACATACAGCATATGAATTTCATTGAGACCACACTCAAAAATTACAGCCAAATTTTAGATGGTACCTTTTTGCTTAAAGTAGGCAATTTGAAATATCCTAGATTGTGCTTATAAAAAAAATTTAATACTACATCAACATGATGCTTAAAATTAGCTGAAGTTTTTAAATCCATTTTTTTTTAGAGTAAAATGAGTAATACTCTTGTGACAAAATCACAATTTTCTGTAACTGTTAATTACATTTTCTACTTTAACAAATGCGTTTAGAAAATCTTCTTCTTCGAGTCCATATTTCGTATATTGATGCAGATATGCTTTTGCTGTAAACATATTCCAAGCTTTGTTTATTACGGTGTCAAGCCCTTCAGTGCAAAAACTGTTGTTACTGAGCATTGATACAGACTTTTCATACTGTCTGAAACGACGTTGTGTTGACCAAATATGGCATTGTTCATCAGAAGGAACCCACAAAGCGTATAAACGTGAATCAAAAAATTCTTGAAAGTCATTTTCTGTCAATTTTCCTGCACCCTCACCTCGTAAAAACAACATGTTTCCAAGGCTTTTGCTATGCTGTTTGGTGTAACTTGGCATACTCTTCTCCAATCGTACTTGCCAGTCCATGCCTTCATCAACAAAAAAATTGGTCAAATGCATCTGTTTCATGCGTTTTAAAAGGCTTGGCCAGTTAAAAGTACTAAATGCGATACTACGATCAGCCAAATGGGGCACTGATCTCAAAGTTAAAATTTTGTATTGAGAATGGCATGATGTGGATCGTACAATATCAAATAAAATGTCTTGTCGCTTATAAGGAAGTTCGAGAAGACTGTTGTTTGAGAGAGAATCTGCGGGCTGCAGAACAGAAGCAAGCTGATGTGCGGCGACTGTGTTTAAATGATTTATTGAAACTTTATCAATATTGAGTGATTTTGAACATACATTGTGCAAGTGATCATTATGCAATAATACTGATGCATCGGCGTGTGTAAGCACACATGAAAGAGTTAAAACAGCGTTATAGTTTTGCACTGCAACTTCCCCGGCTTTGTAAGGCATAACAATAGGATTCAGAATAACAGAATGTGGAAAATTGTCTTTAATAAGCTGGACCACATAAGAACCAAGGCCTGAACCAGTTCCTCCAGCCAAACTCATTACAACGATAAATCCAGACAATCTATCGCACTTTTCTGCCTCTTTACGAAGCAAACTCAATACTTCATTTTCACATCTTGATCCGTGTATCTGAAATCCATAAGACCAGTTATTTCCAGAACCTGACTTACGGCAAAGTTGCATACCAGCAGGATATGTCCATTTTCCACTTCTTCTGGCAGATTCAATAGCTTGATTGACAACTTTTGGCTCCATATCAACAGTCACTGCTCTGGCTTCATGAAAACCAGTTTTTAATTCTTTGAAGTAAGTTTCAGTTGATATTCGGTGATATCTTTCATTCTGTGAGGCAGAAAAGCCAAGAGGACATTCCACGGCATCTTGATAAATTGTGTCAAGCAAATTATGACCCAACTGCGTGCCACACTGTCCTAGTTGAACAAGGACACTTGAAGATGTCATTCTGTCAAATATAAATCATAAATAGGAATTTCTATAGAGCAATTTTACAACATCACTCATAACAAAACTCTAGAGCCATCACTTTATGTCATGCAAGAAAGCATAATAAATTAAACACAAATTAATATACATCATGTAACCAGGTTATATCGCAATATACTGATAGTAGTGGAAGACCAGCACTGACCATCATGAGTATGTGACACCCAGATTTAAATCGAGTCGAAAAAAGCAATAGACACAACAAGAAACTTGAGCAAAGTGACAAGGTTAGATAATCAAGAGAAATTTCAATACATAATTTGAGGGGAAAATTGAATAGGAGAAAACAGTTGAAATGTTTGCACAACAATATTTAAAAACACCAAATTCACTGAATCACTCACTGTGATGTCCACAATTACAAAGATTAAATTCATAATCGAGCGATCAATTCCTTTTTTTGAAAAACTACTATTTTCTTAATACAGTAATAGCTTTTAAAATATCAGTATTGTATCATCTGTGGCCGTATCTACTGGATGCCATGATGTGCATATCACAATAATTTTTGTTTCTTTCCTGTGCACTGATACATCAGCAATGTTTGTTCAAATTTATTTGGTGTTTCTGTGTTTTGTTGCCATTCATGCGCCTCTTTTTTTTCTATTTCAGTATTTGGGTGAATTTTGGAGAGCATTTGACTGAAAATTTCATAGAACGATTTCTTCACAAGCTCCCAGCATAGACAGTGTGCAGTAGGGCACACTACCGTGTGCAGTAGGGCACACTACCCAAATTCAAAGACTGTCCAGTCATCTGGCTCAATAAAATAAACGCTTCATGTCTCTCACAAACAAGGGGTGTCTGCCACAGCGGCAGATGCGCCATGCTTGTCTCAATGATAATCTAAATTAATCCCAGCCGTCATATGATCAAAATTGCTGTTTTTTTGCTTAATACTCTCAAATGCCACTGTAACCTTTGTGTGCCGTACTGGGGGTGTGTCACATTGCGATGAATTTGCAGATTTTCTGCAACATAGGCTACTACATAAGATTCACTGCATCCAATTTACTGTCGTTTTAGCGGATGTTTTGAATTTAGTATAATCTTCCATTTTGAAAAATGATATTTCTGTCTCATTTTCCACTCCTCCTTCTGAAAGGGAAATACCCTTTTCCAATATAAGAGTGTCATCGTCTTCTACATTTATTGCAAGATTACCGGATTTTGTGCCATGTGCTTTATGAGATATCTTCATAGTATCATAATCAAATTTTTTGAATGGCGGTGGAAGTCCAGATCTTGAAGGAATTTCTTGCTTCACTAGCTTCATGAAATCACCAGTATTGAGTGATAAATCCACATTTTGAAAGACAACAGGCTTTACATTATTGTATTCGAATGAACGTATCAGACGAATAGTCAGTATAGCCATTTTACAGTTTTATATAGAAACAAATGACTAGACTAACAATCTAACAATGGATGGAGAAACACCAAAATTAATCCTATTATCCTACAGAAATTTTTGAAATAAATAAAAGTAATAACATTCTAGCGAAAATTACGATACCCTCATGTTCGTACTAAAATGGCTATGTCCCTTTCGAATTGTGTAGCTGACTAAAGTGTCCGTGTTTTTATATATTTTTATGTTTATAAACAGTTTTGTTTACCCTTGTTTAATGCTGTTTTGTCGGATCTGGACTCTAACCATTACATGTGAGAGAAAAACTGTCTTTCGCTCTCTTTCTCCGACCGCCGGGCTGGAGGTCAGTTCTGTTTTCAGTTCTCTAGTGATGTTTTGTTTAATCTGTTTGACTGGTATACGGTATGTTTTTAATATATTCAGATATTGGAGTGCTGTACAATAAACAACCAATCCGGAACCCTTGAGTCTTCGGATTCTTTCAACACACAAAATAAAAACCTATCTGACAATTGCAATCGCGATATTTCCTACTAAAATGGCTATGTCCCTTCTAAAATTGCAATCCATATGATTTCCTACTAAAATGACTACCGGTATGTCCCGCCCCTGGTCCCCTCTAAAATGCAATCCCGATAATTTCGTACTAAAATGGCTATGTCCCTACCAACGACTAACATACCGTACCATAGCCATTTTAGTATAGAAATATAGAGATCGCAAATGAAATGGCTATGTCCCTACTAAAATGGCTATGTCCCTTTAAAATTGCTATACATATATTTTCCTACTAAAATGGCTATGTCCTTACTAAAATGAAGCTGATCCCACTAAATTGCGATCCCGATATTTTCTTACTAAAATAGCTATGTCCTTACTAAAATGACTATGCCCCTTTCTGAAATTGCGATCCCGATATTTTCATACTGAAACTGCTATGTCCCTAATCAAATGGTTATGTCCCTACTAAAATCAGTAAAATGGCTATGGAAAATATCGGGAACGCAATTTAAAAGGTACATATAGCCCTATGGCTTTCGTGTCCATATATTTGAGGATCGCACTCTTGCTCTTTTGTTTTAAGATCGAATTTATTTGGTCACTATGATAGATACAAAAAAACAACAACAACAAACGGACAAACAAAATACAGAGGACCTGGAGGACGGGCATAACTTAATAGAAAAGTTAAAAACGTACAAATACGTGCCCGTCCACCAAAAACACGATATAAAATCGGGCAATACTTCTGAATTAAATTTAAAATGTGAGACGTGTATATGTAACACAACAGTGCTTTTCCTATAAAACTATAGAATAGAAAACACTCGCGGTGGATGGGCTTTGCTCATGTTGATATCACGCGATAAAACAAATACCAAAACAGTGGTGAGCTGTAGCCGGAACGGCGTTCCGGTTGTTGGACATTTTTTTGCATTTGCGTTCCTGTTGTAGAAATCAAAATATTATAATAAGTTCAGTTTCTCTTGTAAACTTAGTTAATAATTTATGTTTTGTTACAGCATATTTCGTAATTCTTCTCACATCACATCAAGCAAATAATTAGTACAGCAGTAACGTGTAATAGAAGTTTCCTTGAATTTTGACCCCATAAAAATTCATCCGTTACATTTCTAATAATAACATTTGTATTGAATTGCTATGAATATTATTGTAATTTTACACAGACATATTTCAGATCACTTCTTCATATGTCATCGCAGTCCTTCGGCTCTATCTTGAAACATACACAAATTTCTGTAAACGCCCGCGTCATTTTGTTTCATAAGTACACTTAAATATATTACATTTTTGCGAATTAGGTGCGTTCCGGTTGTTACGATATTCCCAGCACATCACTGTACCGAAACACACAGCGCGTAACATTCTCTAGTCTTCTTGAGCAGACACATCTCACTCGACGACGGCCGGAATGGAATTTATGACAATGACGAAACAAGTGCAGTTTTTGCAGCCACTCAGAGTCAGACAGATGTTCAAGCAGGGTTGTAAACATTGCCTCGTTTGTGTAGTTTTGCGTATTGTATAACTTAATTGTCACAATGCCTTCCGAGAAGCTTCAGTTTGGTTTCAGTAATCAAAATTTAGTCTCACAAACGATGTGATTAACTAACGCTAAAATTAGCTATCAGTTAACCACGTGGTTAGATATTTTTTTAATGAAAATGATTGTTTCAAAATTTGAAAAATATTATTTTTTTCATTAGTTAAGTACGGTACGCGGTATAGGGAGAATATTTTTAGGGTATGTCACAAGTTTTAGTAGAAACATGTAGGAATATCACATACTGAAGCGGCATCCTGTATTTGTATATATATATATATATTGAATTGTAAATTATAGCTAACCGCTTGATATTTTTTATTATTTGGTTTTTTGATTTTTTTAAACTTTTTTTATATAGATGTCAGCTGGACTGTATTGTGTCGAATGTAGATTCTGATGCTGTCATTCAAATAATTCTTTTTACTTTTAAACCATTTATCCGAATGAAGTGAAAATTGCCACGATAGCAACCGAAAATACAACTTCCAATGCGAAAAGACATTTGTGTGGCTCACTAAATGAACTGATGCCTCTACACTACATCAGCAAATCGTAAACTGTGCGAATCAACTATTGTGTAGGCCGTAGGGTGCCCATATTTCCAAACCCGAAAAGAAGGACACATCGTTTGGTAGAACAATATTTTACATGTGCCTTAGATATACATCATATATCTAGTTTCAACTAGATTCTTTAGGATTGAAAATAGAAATAACAATAGACGAAGTGACGACAATGCAATAATGCATTCTTGTATTGTCAACGAGCAACTGTAGCCGCAAGTAATGCACTCCGCTTCACTATAAATTAGATCTTTTTCAAATCTAAAGCATGGATATTTTTGCTTTAGTTCTTTAGTGAAAAAGGTTTTTCTTTCCGGCATAATGTACTGGGTCTACTGACATAATTTACTGCTAAAATAGAAATTTCACCAAATTGCTAAAAACAAGATGAAATGACGTGAATATAATCGCAGAACAACACGATTTTCACGTGATGCATTTACATGCATGCATTCAACCTAGAGCAGTGGTTCTAAACTTTTGTGTGCCTGCCAAACGCCAAACACTATTGTGCTAGCTCCGGTTGAGCCCCATTCAACGGTTAAAATTACTGAATTAGGAGCGCAGTTAGAACTTCACAATAGAGAAGCTCATTTTGTGAATGGTTATAGAAAATTGTGGTGTAACCTTAGATATCAATATGCAGCGTGGAAATAGTCATTGTTGTGTCACAATGGTGCTGGCAGCAATAATCTTTTGTTGTATAAAAATTGCACTTTTGAGATCGGGAAGATGATACGATAACTCAAAAATGTTGGTAGCTCAGTCATTTCTCAAACTTCATTCAAATGCGAATTGAAGCGTTTTTTAATAGATATTGGCAGGGATTGACATAGTCTACCTTATGACTTAGCGTTATTTTGAGGCCGTCCAGAACGGATGATAATTTAGTTAAACTCTAACGAAATATTTGTTGCCACAAATTCCATTACTAAGTGAAACTAAAAACGGGTTGATCCTATATCAATTTATATACACTTATTTCCTACATTCAACCTGTTCGTAAACCGTAGTGGTATATATTTACGGTAAAACGGAGCTACAATTTTTAAAAAGATTAGAAATGAGGTGTGGCACCGTAAATATGTGGTTGCACAGTGCACACGCAATGGACCTTTCCTCTACCTTGGACCCCCGATATTTATTCTTATACTTTAACATTGCAAAATTTTCGGGGCTATTTTATAAGTGCTTTTGCGAGTTAGCACCTGTAAAATGGGGTATGTGTTTCAAGCCATCAATATAATTCATCGCATACAACAATTTGTTTTTTAAAAGTACAGTACCGGTAAATCTATCACAGCTATTTCTGCACTAATTTTTATTACTGCAAGTAAATTAAAATTAAATTAAAAGCCATCATTATGATTCATCGCATACAACAATCTGTTTTTTCAAAGTACTGTTGGAGAATTTCAACCTAGTCCATCACAGCTATTTCTACACTATTTTTTAATACTGTAATTATATTAAAACTCCTAGGAAGACAGAGTGATCATTGAATTATCTGATTTACATTTAAGTTTCCGAAACACAACTGAAGACTAACGAATAGAGTTCAAAAACGCGAAAACGAGGTAATGTTTACACCACGCTTGAAAATCTGTTTGAGTGAGAAGAGTGACTGAGCAGATGCGAAAAGGGAGCATTGTTGCGTCACATTTTGCATCTTGCTGATTGGCCAATGTCATGACGTAAAAAAGAAAGTCACTTTTGGGGAAAGGTCCGGTCCCTAACTTAAAACCCCAAGGTTTGGGGTAACTTTAGAGCAGGGGTCGCCAACCTTTTGTCGCTCGCGAGCCAAAAATAAAGGTTGCAAGTCATTGGTGGGCCGCACATATTTTTAGAAAGTAAAAAATTGAATGGATCACGCACAGATCAGAAGTTAAATTTTAAGCAGCGCGCGAAGACTGACCATTTGAATATTTTTTGCGCCATTAAACCATTTGCACTTAGCATCAACTTTTTTGCGTTTGGTTGCCATTTGTCCAAATTATAATTAAATTATAGGCTCATTAAACGAGTAATCGTGAATTATATACTTGTGACGTTATAATATAATTTAGTCTACACGTAAATTCTTTTGCGTAAAGAATATAATCGACAAAACAGCTATAATTTGTTACTATAATTCAGTGAAGCGTCGCGGGCCGGATTATATTGCTCCGCGGGCCGGATCCGGCCCGCAGGCTGTAGGTTGCCGACCCCTGCTTTAGAGCGTCCTCAGAGGACATAAAATTTTTAACTAAAAAGAAGGACAAATTCTCCAAAAGGAGGACGTATGGTCACCCTATTGTCTGATTGTGCCAAGGGCTTCGAATCTGACAAATCATGGCATTCATGGGGCTTTTGTACTTAGTAAAATTGTTGGCTTTTTGGCTTTACCATGTCTTGATTTGGCTTTATTTGATCGCTGGGATCTGGCAACCCTGTTCATGACCACAGATTCAAACATGATTGTGTACATTGCGTGAAGACAAGTCTTGTAGAATCAATTCTGCAACTAATATCCTAGGTAAAGTTATCTAATTTATTTTGGAACTGTGCTTTTTTACACAAAATGTGTATGATTATGTTTTTACTGTGTTATTAAAAATAAACAATTTCGAGTTAAAAAAAAATAATGATAATAGAACTTTTGTTTTACTAGAATTTAATAATCAGCGTTTTCACATTTATCATTAATTGAACGTAATGCAGTTATTTTTGAAAATGTTAATTCTAGTCAGCAAGTGTTAAAAATGTCATGACAAGAATTAGAAAATCCCTTTCAGCAAGGAGAAAATTAGAACAATGTAGACAAAAACCTAGTTTTAGAAAAGAGCCTGACATAATATGCAGGACAGGAACCTTTGACTAAATTTTATTTTTCTGCTATCAATAATTAAAAAACATGTAAAATAATGTATATTTAATGATAAACATGGTTAACTTCATCCGGAATCAACAATCTGACAATGGAACACTATCAATTACTGGACAATACTGGATGATGTTTATGAATACATGTGTTATTCAAAAATTATTTGTGTTGTTGTTGTAAGAGTCGCGAGTTCCATCAAAATTAAACGACAAAAGATTCTATACAGTTATATGTTGCCTAACTATGTTTATTATTTATTCATCATTATCATTTACGGTATTTATTTTTACAAAACTGTTTTGAATCCACAATATGGAGCCTTAAAAACAAAAGCATGCTAGGTACACTGGTAAAGTACAAACTCAGAAACATATCAAATGTAATACTGTAGTAGACAATATCATTGGATTACTGGGACAACGTATGACTTTGTTTACTTGGGTGTACATCAAGACTCCCAGTCCCAGTCATCTCAGGGCTTTCGTTTTAGCGCAATAACTCCCAAAAAAGCTTGTGGTTATGGGAAAAAGTTGCGATGCACTGCCCAATGTGTTGACTCCTTTAATATATATCTCTAGGCAATAACAGTTCGTACTTGTTGTTGTTGGCAGCATGACCATGGGTATCTTTCTTTGCTTAGTGTTATTATGATTTTCATTGTGTAATATTACCGCCGGTATTCATTCATTGTGTTTACTGCATGAATTTTTATAGAAATTGTATGTTCAAACGGCCTACCCAAGTAAGGTATCTACTCTGCTGCTTTGGGCGGTTCCAAAGTCAGAAAGACCTAACTGGTTTATTCTACTAATGGATAAATTTGGGAATCTTTTATGCAGTTGTTTATTTATTTACCATTGAAACTACATAATGGAATAAGACATTGATATAAAGATGTTTAACATTGTATTTTTTCTACAATCTTGATAGTTGTTAATATACTTTCTTACAACTGTATAACAATGATTTTGTTGGAATATGAAAACCAAATATTTCTTGATTTATTTGAAGAAAGTGCTCTTCTGATATTATGTGAGGGATTGGGAATTGATCGAATTTTTCTGAGTTTATTGAGATTGTACAGTGACCTGAAGGAATTGGTACTCGTGCTGAATACTGATGAGTTCCAGCAAGAGTATTATACACAAAGACTTAAAAACCTTGGAATTAAAAAACTGCCAATCGTGATATCTTCTGACATATCAGTGCAAGAAAGACAGAAACTGTATTTGCAGGGAGGAATCTATTTCATGTCGTCTCGAATATTGGTCATGGATTTGTTGGTTGAACGAATACCAATCCACTTAATAACAGGTATTCTCATTGCAAAAGCTCATAAATTAATTGAAGCGTGCCAAGAATCCTTTATCCTGCGTTTATATAGAGAAAAAAATAAAACTGGATTTATAAAAGGCCTTACAGATTCTCCAACCTCTTTTCTCGGAGAGTATGCAAAACTTGAAAAAGCGATGAAAAACATGTTTGTTGGTAAAGTTATGCTGTGGCCTAGATTCCATGCAAGTATTTTATCATGTTTGAAAAAACACGAACCGGAGGTTGTCGAAATTGGGATTGCCATGACTGAATCAATGACTGCAATACAAAATTGTCTTCTTGAAATCATTTCCGCTTGTCTTCAAGAGATTAAATCTTATAATCCAGGTCTTGATACTTCCGAGTTAACTCTTGAAAAAAGTTTGGGATCAAATTTTGACAAGAGGGTCAGGGCTCAGCTAGATCCAATATGGAATCAAATTGGCAGCAAAACGAAAAGTATGGTTAATGATCTTCGAATGCTGAGATCACTTTTACGAGGACTGACGCAGTATGATTGTGTCACATTTTTAAAAATGGTTGAAAATTTAACTGCAAATGAGAAAAATTTGGGAAAAAATACAGGATGGCTATTTTTGGATGCAACTGATAAACTTTTCATTCATTCAAGGCGGCGAGTCTACGGGAACAAAACAAAAAAGGATACTGCTATAAAAGATTCAGAGCCTCTTCTTGAAGAGTCGCCAAAATGGGCCATCTTATCAGATGTTTTAAATGATATCAAAGAAGCAAATGAAAAAACAGATGCAAATTTAGGACCAGGTTCCGTTCTTATATGTGCGAGTGATTTTCGAACAGTAGATGTCTTGCAGACTTACATGCAACTTGGCTCCAGGCAAACAATGGTTCAAAGTTACGAAAAACTTTTTGGCAAATCTCTTAGTAATTTAGGTGATATAACCAGTCCATCTTTGGTGAAGTCTGGAGTATTATCTGCCCCTGTGATTGGTCAGAGTACAGAAGAAGAATTTCAAAGTCTTATATTGTGTTCTGAAAATCCAAAAACTTATCTACATGCACTACATGGTAACGCTGACTTCTATAGTTTATCAAAAGCACTTGAAACTGTTAGTCCTCGTTTTGTGGTCCTATACAACAGCAGTATAAATTTCATTCGTCAATTAGAAGTATATAAAGCTTGTAAACCAGGTGTGCCTTTTCGTATTTATGTTTTCACTTATGAATCTTCTACAGAGGAACAAGTGTATTTAACTACTGTGCGACGTGAAAAAGAAGCATTCAACTCCTTGATACAACAAAAGTCTACGATGGTAATTCCGAAAGAAATTGAAGGCAAGGTTGACCATGCTCCCAGGCTAAGTAGGGACCCGAAACCGGCCTATGAAAACACTGGAGGTTCTCGAAGGATTGGTGGTCAAACAGAAGACAGTGTTGAACACAGAGTTGTTATTGATATGAGAGAATTTCGTAGTGAATTGCCATCGCTTTTGTATAAAAGAGGTGTTAATATAGATCCAGTGACTATTGAAGTGGGTGACTATATTATTACACCAGAAATATGTGTTGAAAGAAAGAGTTTGACTGATTTGATTGGATCGCTGCAAAGCGGTCGCTTATACAACCAATGTGTTTCCATGTGTCGACATTACTCAAAACCTATGCTTATGATAGAATTTGATGCAACAAAGGCATTTTCTTTCAAAGCACGTGGTATTATGGCAAACACTACCCTGAAGGAATTGAATCAAAAACTTGTACTTCTTATAATACATTTTCCTAAATTGAGATTCTCCTGGTGCCCTTCGCCTGCGATTGCTGCTGAATTTTTTCATGAAATTAAAATTGGAAGGGCACAACCAAGTGCCATCGACGCCTCGGCTGTTGCATCAAAAGAAGAAAGTGGAGCCGCAAAATCAGATATTTATAATTCTGGCCCATATGATTTTTTGTTAAAAATACCTGGAATTGATATAATAAACTGTCGTCGAGTCCTCAATCATGTTAAAAATTTACTCGAACTCAGCACTCTCACTGAAGAACAACTGGCATCAATTTTAGATAGCAAATCAAATGCTCAACAATTGTATGAATTTTTTCATAAAGATTACAATCCTGATAAACTGCAGTTGGCTAAAATTGGATCGAAAGGTGGGAGGTCAAAGCGTCCAAACTCAGCTATGACGAAACCTCAAACTGGTAAAAAACAAACACTTTTAACGAAAACTCAGCGAAAGTAATGAATAATATAAGAATCACTTTCATCTATGTAAGGATTCTAGTAAGGCATTTTTGTCTGTTAGCCCATTTGCAGGGAAACTATGAAGAAATATTCTTTTTACACAGGAAATGCAATTTGTATGTTGTTATAACAACTATATGCCAGAAAGTATGTTGAATTAGCTGTTCCTATACTTGAATTGAAGTTAATGAGTCAATCGAAAAATTGTAGTTCTAAAGATAATTTATTAAGTCATCCAGTTATAATTTTTTTCAATTTTTATACTTGTTTTCTGCATATAAGCCATCTGCATACCGTATATTGCGCTAAATGATATTCACAGATGGTACCAAGCAATTCAAATACTTTCAACCTGTTTCATAATGGCAGGAATTTTATGAAAACAGAATAACAGATGGATCTTTTTGTAAATGTGCTCTAATAAAGGCCATAAGCACTTTTTCATAAACAAATAATAATATATAGACCTGACATGCGCAAACTACGGCCCACAGGCCTGTTGGGTAATTCAATATGGCCCGCCTGATGCTGCCACCACCAAACTAAAACCAAATTTTCATGACTTAGCTAAAAATAGCTTAAGAAATTTGTTTGAGATTGCCAATCTAGTTTTGGCTCGAGTTTATTGTTTCCCGCTTTTGCTTTTTGTAACACTGTAAATATTGTTCATGAAATGTAACTTTTTACATCACACCTACATGACGGGCGGGCCAAATTTTGGGCCCCTGGTCTAAAAACCTTGCCCACCCCTGATATGGCGCCTGGCGGATTACATATAATCAATCAAACAATTCACCAATAAATCCTGAACTTCTGAAATTGCATAAATAAATCTTCCCAATCATATTTACACGATATCATCCTTCATTATTTGTTTCTGCTATCACTGTGATATTTTTTGTATATATATGAAACTTTTCCGGATATCTGCAGGTGTACGGTAGTTATTTTTCAAACTTGATAGGCATGGGAAGCCGGAGCCCCATCTTTCTAACAGTGCAAAGGGACTTCTATATACTATATTGTGGCAGATCTTTCAGAAAAAGCAAATAGGCGTGAGTGATGGGAGGAATTGTTCATTCAGCTCAAATTTTTTGTGTAAATATTCAACCGCAACATTCCTCTACTTTGCATATAAATCTTTCCCATTTAAGATTTGTCTGCATTTTCTTTACTGTCCATACAAACCGTGTTTTGAGAAAATGCTAGCTTCATTAATGTATTGCTCCGGGATCCGGCCCGCGGAGTAAATAATCCGGCCCGCGACGCTTCACTGAATTATAGCGACAAAACGGCGGATTTAACGATGAATTCAATTTTATAATCTACCCTCCAGGAGTAGGCTGGTTTATATTCTTCACGTAACAGAATTTATTGTGAAACACGTGTGGACTATAAATTATATTATAACCTAACAATTAAGTGGGCTACTCGTTTACCGAGTCTACAATTTATTTACAAGTAAAAATAACATGATCTCTTTCAACGAAATAGCAAGTTTATTTGTGGGCGGCAACCCATGGCACGCGTGCCAATTGTGGCACGCGAGAGGATTTGTAATGGCACGCCAAGCGATTTAAGGCAGATTCGTGACAAACCTTCTACATTTAAACAAAAAATACCAATTCGACAAATTAATGGGAATAAATTTTCAATATTCAACTGCAATCGACGAGATGCCGAAATCGATGTAGATAGGCGTGTGCGGTGCTGGTGACCCCTTTCTCTCTGAATCACAAAAATTATTTCACGACAACGATAATTATTACTTTCTTTTTGCCCACAATTGTAAATTCATTGAAAGCGAGATGCTGAATTCCAATAAAGGAGTGAATTGGCGGCGCAAATTTTTTGATTGAGAAACGGCAACATAAAATACTAATGAAAATGAAACCGCGAAAAATTTATTGTAGGAGGCCCGCGACAGATTGAAAACGCTTCTCTAAACATTGTAAATCGCAAAGATAAGTTTCTGCACATGGCACACATGGATTACGGCGCGTTGGGAACCATAACGCTACTTAAATCGAAACACAGTCATTTGTGCGCGGAATTTACCTTTTTATTCATTAATTTACATTGAAAATCTCCGTGGTATATTATACAAGGTTGGAAACGCGACTTTTTCCCGAGTCGTGGTGACACATAAGACAAGAGAGCTATGCTCAAATACATGAACACGTAGCGCCACCCAATGGCAATAATTTTGAAGACGTCATAGCGAAAAAAAAATTAATAGCCTTCTGGAGAAAAATTTTATCTTTAACCACTGAAAATTTCAAAGAAATTGGTCCAGTATTCGAAGAGAAAAGCGTTTTTTTAATATTTCCACTAGGTGTGTTATTCTGTGTCAAACCAATGACATTAAACAACATGATGCGCAACTCCGGCATTTTTGTCCGAAGATCGTATTCGATAGCACGCTCCAATGCACATACTTGACGAGACGAAAACGAGCGGATGTGTGCTGCTTTCAAGGCGTAGCACGAATGGTGTTCGTGCCTGCTTTGACAGTTGTTGTCGATTTTAATGATATTTTTGAAAGTTGGGGTAAAAAGAAATCGGTAAAAGGTAAGGTGAATACTATTGTTGTATATCACACCCGGGCATCGCACTGTTAAGTACATGTGGGAAAGCCAGCCTTTGTCAAATACTACGAAGTTATTAATTCAGTACGGTACGTAGTTGCCCATTTGCCGAAATTACATATTCACATTACCCGTTATGGTTTCAAATAGTTCATGCACCTCCAGTTAGATTTTTTTAATCAGTGAGGATATATACTCATTGTTGATTGCTGCTCATTGTAACATACTATTACGCATTCACTTTTATTTGCGTATTGAATCAAAGTGTTAACAAGTTCACCTAACATTTCACTCATACCGGTCTATATTGTATAGTCTGATTTCTCAAGTATTTGGAGCCCACGAATGCTTGTAATTTTCTGACTGAACCCTTTTATTAGTTGGTTTATATACCAAATTCAGTAAAATATTTTTTTAAATAAACATGAGATATTGGGATTTATTAGCTTTTCCATTCTGAATCATATAGACTGCTTTATTTATTCTTAACGAAAATTAATAAATCTCCTCTCTTTCTTCAGATGTGAAAGCATTGTGAGACTCTTGCAGCACAAGAGGCAATAGCAGAAATAGTAAGTATATCAATCAAGAAATTAAGCCGACATAAAGCAAAACTTTCAACTATTCGTCTAATCTCAATTTCCTATTATTTATTCACAGGACAACTATATCAGACGGGGAGATATCAGAAGTCTGGCGACATATCAGTGACAGTGTGATTCCAAGAAATATAATGCAATTGAAAATAGACATTTGACCCTCCGGTAGAGTTGTGTATGGCCCCCACATCCTGCAGGGCTTGAGGAAAATAACTAAAAATTCCAAAGCGTAAGATGCTTAAGCGGTCTTATTTGTAAAAAAGGCACAAAACACGCCAGACATACTTAAAACAGCTTTGGAAATGAGGATTACGGGTACCTCACTGCACCTGTGTTATATTTGGTTCATCAACTTTTGGTAGTACTATAGAGAAAATTCCGGAAGGGGTATAATCATCATTCATGATAAAATACTATCATATACTTTTTGAACAACTTCAATCTAGACCAGGGATCTCAAATCGCGGCCCAGAGAACTTCCAGTGCGGCCCTCGCAATTAACAATAATTGTTAATAGTATTTTGGAAGTTTTTTTTTTATCTAAATGTAATAGATTTTTCAAACCTTTCTAAAGTGAAATTGATTATTCACTACAGAAAACAATTTACTGAAAGTAGTTTTGGAATATTGATTTTTTTTTGTCCACATTTTTGACCCAATTAAGAATACACATCAAGCTAGCAAAAGAATACTTGAATAAAACACTTGAGTAATTAAATTAAAACGCAAAGTACATGAAGAAGGTGGCATTTTCGAAGAAATGGGAGTCTGTAACATTTCTGCTCTTCACAAATTCTGAAGCACATTGTTTAATTTGTCATATTTCCATCAATACAATCCAAAAAACACAATAAGCTCAGCAGTCAATATGACAAATTCGAAGACCAACTTCGGACAGAAAATTTCCATGTGGTTTGTATATTAATAAATTATACAACGACTTACGTTACTAAAAATCAATATCAATAATAATTCAAGCAATCCTATGCCACGCAATGTAGTGCGAAATGTGTTGTCGAAAAAATCTGTCATTTGTTTTTTTACTGATCTATACATGAAATGATAAAAGTAACTTTTTTGCATTAGTGGAATTAATTAACATTCGTAAGATCCAGATAAACCCATGATCGTGTGGCCTCGTTAGTTAGAGTTGGTACTATAAAATCATTTCAGACTGGCCTTAGTATCGCTGGTGACACAAAAAAGATGCCAAACGCCAGAGACAAATGTAAATTATTAAAACATTGAGTTTATACTGTAGTATTTTTGTTAATTAGGTTCATATATTTAGATTAAGTTATTTTTAGTGTATGTATTATTCTTTCCTTATTCAAAGCTTGTTCAAAAATGATTTTGATGGTTGTACATAGAATTTTACGATTTTTATAATAAATACTGTAACTTGCAAATGTTGCAATAATAGTGGAATGCAAATATTAATATGTAATTGCATTTGAAATTGAAGAAAATAATAAAACTTAATCCAACTGTTTAGTTGCATCACAATATATGTCACAAACTAAAACTATCTTAAAAATATCTTTTAAGTATACAATCAAAAACTGTTTGCGGCTCTTTTTACAATTTTCAAAATGCAATGCGGCTCTCGAAAACCCATGAGTTTGACACCACTGATCTATTCTAGACGATTCAAGCATTGCTTTGGAAATTATATCACTTCAATTAAATTGAAATAATCTCGCTATATTAAATACAAAATCGTTGCTATCATAAAGGTAAACCAATTCAGCCACTCGAAATATATTGGCCTTCACAAAGCAATGGAGGCAAAATTGAGAGTTCATGAGCTATGAACATTGTTCTTTTCTTTGTCTTGAACTTTCCATACTCCACAGCCCCTATTAATTTTTTTTAATTTTAATTACCATGTGATGGTCATACATATCTTTAACTTGTATTTTCTGTCATGATGTATTATCTCAATGTGCCAAACTATTAATTAGTGTGCATATTTTGCTTCCAGATGACATAAATGTATTGTCATGTTTATTACCTCAGCTTGGAGTATTGACAAGAAAAAGGTGCCAGTAAATTAGGTAAAAAAATTTTCAACTCATTGTTATAATCAGAATTCACAATCAATAGGAATTATAAACAGCCAACAATCAGTGAGAATTATATGCGAAATCCCTCAGAATAAATTTGTCTAAAATCGGAGGAAGGCAAAAAATATAGGTAGTTTCCATCCACACAAGCATTTCAAGAAGACTTGCTCGAGCCAAACTAAATGAGCATCGTCAGGTGATCGGTAAGGCTGCAAGTTGAATTCAGCCCTGCAACCTCCTGCATAGAAGATAATATTAATTAGTGGGCTATGAGCTAAATTCCTAAATTTAAACAAACCTATCTATGATGCATTATGTACCAGCAATGTTACCTACGATTAACTGAATATGTAATATGTCTAATAAATTCACCTACAAAAGCAAGTTCGATAGGTGCAAACTTTGTGTTATGGAATTGTATCGCAGCACAGTTTTGTATGACACCCTCTTTAAATGAAATTTCAATGATTAAGCGCAAACATTAAAATTACTAACTTTGAACTTTGTCATTATCTGCAAAATGTTCCACACAAATCTTTCCGCTATCGCGTTTGTAATCTTCTCTGATAAAAAAAAACGTCTATGATGTCCAGAATTGCTCTTTACAGCTTGCCTGTTATTCCAGCTTTCCAAGTAAGCAAAACTTCTTAGATATAGAGATTATTTTGTTT